TTAAATAAAGATAATTTTTTATTTTTTAATAATAATTAAAATAAAAAAATTTGTTAACTTATATCTTTAAATCACATATTAAAAATACCTTAATAATACTCTACCAATTACCGAACAAATCCACCAAACCTAAGCTCGTCGGCTTCTTCATTTTTTGTGTAGAATTCCCCTGCCAAGCAATACCTGCCCCCCAAACCAATTCACAGGACCCATTCCAAATTTCCAAACACCAATACCCAAAAACTCCCAAGAAAACATCATCATCAAGATGCTTCTCGATATCAGAACTCAGAAGCAGACGTGCCCCCATCTTCTTTGAAGGTTAAAGAGAAAATTCAAGCAATATGAGTGGGGCAAGTGATGTGTCCATTTGTACCCAAAATTCTAAGGTTGACTGTTATAGTCAACGCTCTGCAAATTGCCAAGAAAGTGAAGGTCTAGGTGCAAGGTAATTAAACATCATCTAAAAGGAAACAATCAAGAAAACTCGTTACCTGGGCCCGGGCCCGGATACAACTGTCTCAATTTAATTGATCATGCTTTTCCGCATTCGAAGAAATAAAAATAAAAATAAATAATAGTCCAAAGTCCGGTGATCAAGTCTTGGAAGGTGGAGAGGTCAACCACAGGGGATTGGTACCCCACACCTGCAATCCTTTCCCCCATAATTACGTAGTTAAAAAAATTAAAAAAAAAAAAAATTGTGGAGGTGGAGTGCGTGTGTGGTTGTTTTAAGACCAAGAAGTTCTTGCAATTCTCCTGTAAACCACAGGATTGTTTAAAGACCTGAAAGTCATCGACACTTTTGCCCCTCTCCATGCCTAGTCCAGGCCTCATCTTTGTCGCTCTTCTTCTTCTCGCCTTAATTCATGAGACCTGCAGTGCCAAAGATAAACATTACTGTCCACCTTCTTCTTGTGGAAATAATTCGAATATTAGCTACCCTTTCAGATTAAACACAGATCCGCCTAATTCCTGTGGAACGACTGCAGATCCAGTATATAACCTATCCTGTGAGAACAACCTTACAGTATTGTACTCTGATCAATCAAGAAAATTCTACGTGAAAGCAATCAATTATGACAATCAAACAATTCGAGTAGCTGATGCTAGTGTTGAGGAAGGGAGCTGCTCCATACCTCAATATTCTTGGGACGCCGATGACTTCTCAACGTTTTCACATTATTATTCTAATTATTATCATTATTATTATTATATTTATAAAAATTATGTTTATGTTTGGGAGAGCATTCTTTTCATAAGTTGCGGAAATCTTGTAAGTGATCCTCTTTATGTGGAAGCTCCTGCCTGCATTAATGACAGC